GAGCATTGTTGCTTGTTCATGACTCAATTCACCCAATTTACTGATGACATTATTCGGGTGCAGGTGGCTCGGGCGTTGCATGCTAGTTATGGGTTGCTGCAACATGCCAGGTTGATTGCTACCCCGGATGCCCCGCGGCTGCTCCGCTTTGCTTATAGGGACCCAGACTTAGGGATGTTGGTCGCTTTGGCCTTGGTTCAGTCCGCACCCCCTTGTTCTTCCCCTGCTGTAGTTCATTCTGTTCCCGCCCTCCCCCCCTCCTCCCTTGCTTCCGGCTCCAAAGTATTTGAGGACTTTGGGGTCGGGGCGGGGTTTAGAGGATTATGAGGATTATGGCAACGGGACGCCTGGTGTTGTTCTTCAGCTATGTCTTTCTCTGTTTGGGCCCCGTTTGGATTATGTAGTTCAGTTTTGGTCGCCGTACTATAAAATGGATGTGAGTTCACTAGAATGCGTCCAGCGTAGGATGACAAAGCTGGTCCCCCAAATTAGAACCCTGTCATAATAAAGACAGATTGATGGAGCTTAACCTGCATTCCCTGGGAAAGTTGAAGAATCGGGGGTGACATAGTTGTGCGAGTCGATGAATGGACATAACAAAGGGGATATTAATATTATTGGGTGGGTGGATATGAATAGGAGCTGCCTCGTATGGGCCAATAGGCCTTCTGCAGTTACCATCATTCTTATGTTCTTATGAGACTCGAGCAGTTTCGGGGGTTGCCCCCTTTCCAGGATGGCGATGGAGGCATTCGAATCCGTTCTTCCAGCCGTGGTGACGGGGGTCTGTCCAGTGGGCCTCCTTCCTTTTTGCTTTTCCGGCTGCCCCAGCTTTATCTTGTGAGGACAGGGCTTTGGAGGATGACTCATCACCGGGGCCTGATGTGGATGTTCCCGGGGTTGGGGGAGGAGCTCACTTTTGAGGCCTTGGGCTCCGCTGGGCCCCGTCTGGGTTTTCCAACCCTCTGAGCGGGGCTTTTTGTTATAAAGAGTGGGGTTTTCCTTTCCCCCCTCTGCGTATGAATTAGATTTGGGTTCAGCCCCTCCGCAGGTTCGGTTCTGTATCCCTTCGGGTCCGTCCTTCCACAGGTTATTGGCTTCCCGCGTCTCGCCTACTACTGTACTGAGGTATGGGCGGTCATTGTGGCTTACCTCCTACGTGACTCGGAATGTGCCTTTATAATGGATCCGTTATCATTCAGATTTGGGTCTTCGTCTCCATACTGGGTTCGTTACAAGGTTCCAGATTCGTCCTGGCTTGCGGACTGCCTGTTGTTGGATGCTTGGAGTACTTTCTATCATACTTTTCTATGGTTTCCCTTCTTCCCTGTTCCAGGGCGCAGATCTCCCAGGTTATCTGCAGGATTATTCGGTCCAGCCAGCCTGTGGTCTATCCCCGTGCCCACGACATTCGTAAGTTCGGAGCGTTGGCGGCTGTTGTTGGTAATGAGTCTTGGGCTGACATTCGGGCATGGAGCTTTTGAAGGTTGAACAGGGTCCTGGCCGCTCGGTACCACGTTCATGTTCCTGGCCCTTCTCAGGAGTGTGTAGCCTTGGGTTGCAGGTTGCAGCCAGTTGTCTCAACTTCGAGTTGAGGAGGGAGTGGAGGCCGCCTCCTGAGTAAGTGCCTCTTGTCCTTTATCTTTGGTTAAGTAGTTCCGGGGAGCCGAAGAGTCTCTCCACAGAAAACCAGCGTTGAATGTAATGAAATGCTATTTTCTGGGTGAGACCCGGAAGCTCTCGGCATCCCTCCCTCCCTCCGGTCTGAGGTTTTTTCGTGCTTTTGATATGCAGCCTCTGAACTGGGGTGGGTAGCTGCTGCAGGAGGTCTGTGACCTCCTTTTCCCCTTCCCAGGGAGAGGGGAGTTGCACAGACAGCGGTGCGGCAGCTGTGGTGACGTCATGCTTGCTTGCTTGGTTTCAGTTGGAGGAGTTCTGTGTTGCTAGTCCGGCTTTCAGTTTACAATTTTTAACCAGCTGTAGTTTGTTTTGAAATTGCCTACCTTTCTGGGTGCCTGACCTGGTAGATGGCAGACAAAGACGGCTTCCAATTACACAGGGTTGTCTTTAGGCCATTGCTCTTCATACCACTCTTGAGGGGACCAGGTTCTGGCGCTGGTCCTCAGCAGGCCTAGACCACCATTGATTAACTGTTGCCATGGTCTAATATATACACATCAGCCCAGTATAGCTTCAGGGAACCTCCAGGTCTCGCCCAGAAAATGGCGTTTCATTACATTCAACGCTAGTTTCTTCACTATGTGAACCATGCAGATGCCTGTGTTGTTTCATTTACTTTCTGGAGGTTTCTTTGGTGAGAGTTATCATAATATCCCTATGCTCCCTGTGCATCTTTGAGGGATGTGGGAGGCCAGGTTCTGGCTCTGGTTCCCGGTAGGCTATTCAGAACTCCTAAGGCCTTTCCTATTCTGAAGGCTGAACTATTCAGAAAGGCTGATGTGGCCCGGATGTGTGGAGCTACCTCAGCGAGCTAACTTCTGGGAGTCACAGTTCAGTCCTTGCAAAAAGTACAGTTTGATTAAAAATTTTCTGGGGTAAGCCCCTTGTGGTTCCCAGATGTTACATGGTGAAATGCTTACCATCTACAGAGTCACATCAGTCATAGGGTTCTAAAGGCCTGCTGCGGACTGGAGCCAGATCCCAACCACCTCACAGAGAGCACTGACATTTATTTTCACCAACTCACCAGGGAAGGTAACCAAATAGTCAGTGAGTTAAAACATACTACTGCTTTATTTAAGAGAGACTGAAGTCTCAAAATCAGTCAAAAAAATAATCTGCCAACTATGTAAATAAAAGATTGAATTCTCTCGGAACTGCGTGAGCTCATTTTCCTCACTTCCTCCCCCCCACTCGTTTAGGAAAAGGGGAAGATGGTTTTTCCTCCTGCCGGTACCCGAGCCCCCAGTTCTAGTGCTGGTTTAGAGATTACCAGGTTACTGCTCTTCCATACTGGCTCTGGTGTTCTGCTATTCAACCAAGTGGTTGAATAGCAGAGCAGAATGTCCTCTTGTTCTTGATGTTGCAGTTTTCAAAAATTCTTCTTTGTCAATTTTATCGATTCCTTTTACTATTTTGTAAGTAGAGATAATATCACCTCTTTTCCTTTCTTCTAGCTTTGGTGTATTTAACACTTTTAACCTCTCTCCATAGCTCTTATTTTGTCATTTTCGATTGGTTGCCCCCACAACTGCTTCGTTTGCATTAGAGACCCGGAATTGGAGGCATTTGTGACCTCCACTTTGGCTCTGTCTGTACCTCATCTTCATTTCCTCTTTCTTCTGATCCTCTCTTTTTTGCTTCCAGCCCCCGAAGCACATGAGGGTTTTGGAGTTGAGGTAGGGTTTAGCTCAGGATGTGGTTTGGTCAGGTCAGGGGGTTGCCCCTTCCAATTCTGGTGCAAAAGCAGTTGAGCCAGCTGGTCTCACCAAGGCTTCTGAGTCTTCTTTCAGGCAGTCTCCTCCTTCAAAGCCTCTCCCTTGGACTCCAATTTTTCTATCCCAAGAAGCAAAGACACTGTCTCTGCCCCGGGGCCCTCAAGTGCAACTTGCAGGGCTTGGGGAAGTCTGATACAGACTCGGATCCCGTTCATCTCTATATGGTTCCTGGTTCCCTCCGAGGAGGGCAGCCTTTTACAGCAAGGAGGGGGTTTTCATATCGCCCTCTCCCTGTATGAGTAAGACTCGGATGCAGCTTCCTCCTGGGATTCGACTCTGCATGCCTTTGGGTCCATCACAGTCATCTGTCTGGAGCTTTCCTACTTCTCTGATCCCTCCTTTAGCAGCTTGGGAAGCGCTGTTCACGTACTTTCTACAAAACCCAGATCAGGCCTTAATGATGGACCCTTCCCCTTTCAAGTTTAGGTCTTCTTCACCTTCTTGGTTTGCGTTATGAGGTTCCGGAGTCTTCCTAGCTGGCAGACAGTCCTTTCTTCTAGCTTGGTGCTTGGCATGGCTTTTGTCGTACCCACACGCTGGAGCTATATTAGGTGTCAACCGTGTTACAGGTGTTTCTGAGGGGGCTCTTGTTTTGCGGCCCTCAATGACTGCCCGTTTCCCTTGCTCTTTCTCAGGACATGGATCGTGTGCAGTCCATGCCCAGTTCCCTTGATGTTGGCAGCACTTGTGGTTAACCTTTGGGCCCATCTGCATTTTGGGGTCTGTCGTGCATTTCCTGGCTCTTCTGGAGCCAGGAAATTAATGGCTCCAGGATGACGCTGAAGCACCTGGTGGGGGCTGCATGTGGAGGTCACTGCTTCTGCCGTGGTGCGGTCGCTGAGTTTCCCAAACTGCATGCTCCCATGCTCCGGAATGTGGTGGCCATTTCTAAAGGCCTTCCTCGGTGGTGGCAGATATGAATAGATTTCTAAAAATCTTTATCATAAATGCAGCTATTCCCTGCGCCTCTGGTGCCTGGTAGGCCAATAGAACTCCATGACTGATGGACCTGGTAGTATAGCACACTTATCAGAGATAGTAGCTTCAGGGATCTACAGGAACTCACCCAAAATTTACCATTTCATTACATTTTACATTGGTGTTTCAGAAATGAGAAATCAGAGGATAAACTCTGTCAACAGATTTTTCTGGATACAGTACTTGTCAAATCTGCAATTTTGGGTCTGGAATTTCAGGATACAGTACTACTTCATATATATTTATTTATTATTTACTTTATAAATAAACAAACAAATTTGAAATTGTTATGGTAGTTTATTATTTTATGCCCCATTTTTACACATTATTTAATATTTCCTATTTTCATTGCTTTAATTTGTTTGTGCATGTTCGTTGCACTGAATTTTAATTGTGTTACTAAGTGTTGATGTGCTGAGGGCCCCACAGTATTTGCACCTCTGTGAAAAACACTGTAGTGTGATAGCTTAGCTTGCATCAGCATGGTGGCTGTGCTGGTGAGTCTGCCAATAATCTTGTGTTTGTGCTTCACCCCACTTAACACCATGCCTGCATGTGTTGCAGAAGCTGTGCCCGCTCCCGTGCTGCTTCCACTGACCAGGACTCCCCCCAGAAGCCTACTCCCTCCACCCTGGCTCCCAAGGGGGGGAGAGAACTCCCTCCTGCCAACCCCCCACAGACCCGCCCCCAAACCAGGTACCCAGGGGCTACACCTCACCTTCCACCCCTTGCCTTCTATCCTCACATTCCCATCTTATAATTATTTTCTGTTTTATTAAAAAAATATGTTCTGTTATTTCCTTTCCAATTAATGAGGCTTTGGCACATGAACTCTCGTCTCCTATAGAGACGGTTTAGTGTCCATTTAAATACGACAACACTGTACTGAAATTGAAGTATGCATATAATACACATTGAAAAAAAATTGTTTGTAAAACACATTTTCATTGCATCCTGCCTGAACTAGATTCTCATTATATCATAATTTTTTACTGTCCTCTTTTTTTTTATTTCTTTTTCCACATGCTGTCATATGTAATATTACTTGTCTTGAACTCTATATTACCTGTATTGTCTTGTCCTATATTACTAACATTTCTCATTTTTTTGTGTTCTTTTGGTATATGTTCTGATATGTAGTAAACAGTGTAAAAGTTGTAATTGTTATTATTTTTATAGTGCATAAACAAATTGTACATATTCTGCTTTCAGTCATTTTTCAGAGCTTTTCAGTTAATATTTATCAGTTTGGATCTGCTATCTAGTAGATATCTTAGAAACTAGGCTACTTTCCTAGGACTATTGGTTATATTGCATAGAATGTCTAATGTGGCTGAAAACAAACAAGCAAACCTAAACATGTATAAATGAAAGTTACGACATTCAGGACTGTCCTGGAAACTTATTAAATGGATACTGAGGGAGTAAAAAGTTGAAAACCAATGTAAGGCTAAAGAGGAAGATATGTGTAAGTCTTTAACCATTGCACTGCTCTGCATTAAAATACGACACCTCTGTGGTGCGCTGAAATTAAATTCTTTCTAAAAAATTATTTTCTCTTCTTATATTGTTAAAATGCAGTCTCTGATCACGGGAAAAAAAAAATGTATGTGACATACTTTAGCCGGGAGTAAAAGCTGGGTAAAAGTATCTGGGTAAGAGTAAAAGTTTCCTGGAGCTGGGAAGTTGAGTAAATTATGGGCGCTGAGTGATGGAGCGCTCAAGGTCACTTGGCCCCGCCACTCCATGGAGTGGCAGTTGCCGCAAATATAATGTTTCACAATTATTTTAATGTTTCTAATTTGTTTCTTCTCTGTTTTTTGCTGTAATATTATTCAAAAGCGTGTAATTTGTGGAATTTATATAGTTCAATGTGTGTGGAACATTGCTATGCTCAAAATTATGGGGCTCATATTTGTGACATATATTCTACGATCAATGAAACTGTGTTTTTGCTGTTATTACACCATATACACACATTGTATATACCTATCTACATATGTGGTCACCATAGCGAACCACTAAGTTGGTATGGCGAGTCCAAAACAACACGAGTGGGCTGCCACACCCAGCCAACCCTCCCTTACTCTTTCAACACCTAACTTGCCAACATTCCTACTCCCACGATACTGTTTGTGGTTTTATTACACTATATACACACATGTTATATATAAGTATCTACATGTGTTGTTCACCATAACTGTACAACGAAGCTGGTATGGTGTCTAAACAACATAGAGGCATTAAAAAAACTGCATGACAAGTCAGTCACCAGACGCCAGCCTCCCTCCCTCCCTCCCTCACCTCACCTCCCTCACCAAAATAGCATCTCCAAACATACTTCTTTTGCTGTTATTACACTCTATACACACATTATACATAAGTATCTACATTTGTGTTCGCCAAAGCAAATCACTAAGAGGGTATGGTGATTCCAAACAATAACATGTTACCTCACACCAGCAAGCAGGCGATGCTACCTCTCCCTCCCTCTCTCACCAAGATTACTCCTACCATCATACTACGCACATTGCTAATTCTCACCACAATCCTAGTCACTAAATCCTGTAAATCAATAACTTTCCACAAGTTTCTTTTGTAAAGGAACATAGAAGTTGTTTGAAGAATCTTAGATGGATGAAATATGGCAGTGCTGTGGACATCTTGAAGAGCATTGATTCACTGATTCCTGAACATTGTACACAGTCTTTATCACAGTCAGGCTCTTCTGTAATTCTGTACTATCATGGCTAAATAATACCAGATACATGTACATTCTTAAGTTTTTAGGCAATGCTATGGTCACAAACTGAACAGCAATGCTGTTAGCTCATGCTATGTTCGCCAGCCTTGGTTGCTCACCCAATACTTACGTTCTCACACCCGGGAATGTTGCCCATGATTTAAAAAAAAAATGGCGTCTGTTTACGAGAGCTCTAAAGAAGCTGATGTGAATCCCCGTGTAGCTGCGGGTGTTTTGAATGCTACGCTATACCTATGAACGCCCTGAGGTGTGTTGCGCACCACCCATCAAGCGCCTCAAGGTGCATTGCGCTGTGCAGTCGTTAAAGGAAAGTATGAAAAATGAGCTAAAAGCATCTCAAAATTAGAAGAAAAACTAATCAAAGCAAGCAGAGAACTCGAATAAGAGTAAATGCAAAATGCAAGTAAAGGCAAAAATGAAATAAAATAGAGAACCAAGTTAAAAACACAAAGATAGTCGGAAGATAGAAGGAAAGCACAGAGGAGCAGATAGCCAGATAATGCAAGTCAGATCATACTTGTTAAGAAGATTACAGCATTTAACAGTGTTCCAAGAAAGGCAAAAGTCAACATATACAGTATAAGTATATAAATATATATACAGAGGATACCTCGGTTTAAGATTTTAATCCGTTCCTGGAGACGGTTCGTAAACTGAAGCCAATTTTCCCATAAGAAATAATGGGAAATTAATTAATCCGTTCCTGACTCCCCCAAAACTTAACTTCCAAGTAAATTTTATACCTAATTCACCCAAATCTACACTACAAAACAGCCTGGAAGAGACAGCGCCACCGGCAGACGGCTGAGTCTTTTTTGTTTTGAAAGGCAAGTGCGGTGGCCTGTAGGACCATCTGTACAGCTAAACGTGAATGTTGGATGTCTTATGTCTCCACCGTTACGTCCGAAACTCCTCTACCGCTGATCTGGAAGCATATCCGCAAGATAGCGGGTAAGTTCATTCCCGATGTCTCGCCAATCCTTCACCTTCGTGGTACTCTTGTGGCGGACCCGTTGCAGGTCGCGACCGAATTGGGTTCCCATTTTTCTTCTGTTAGCTCTGGTTCTCATCTTCCTCAATCTTTCCTTCTTCGTCAGCCTCTTCTTGAATCTCGTCCTTTGGATTTCTGTACCCATTTCGGCCTTCCCTATAACGATCCCTTCTCTCTCTCTGAGCTTCAGTCTGCCCTGGCCCTCTGTGGCTCTATGGCAGCGGGCTTCAATGGCATTCATTATGAGATGCTTCACCATCTCCCTCCGTGCACGTCTTGGTATTTACTGAGTCTGTATAATCGGGTCTGGGAGTCGTCGTCAGTCCCTGAGGACTGGCTCGATGCCGTTGTCCTTCCTGTTCGGAAACCAGGGTCTCTCGGGACATCCCCTAAGGATTTCCGCCCTATTGCCCTTATGAGTTGTGTCTGCAAGCTCTTTGAACATATGGTTAATGTTCGTTTGATGTGGTTCTTAGAACACTATCACCATCTCTCCCCTTCTCAATTTGGTTTTCGCATGTGCCGCAGCACAACTGATGTCCTGGTGAACTTGGAGTTCTATATTTGTACTGCTTTTGCTGCGAAGACCTCCGTTGTTGCCGTCCTTTTTGACCTGGAAAAGGCTTAGGACACCACCTGGCGGTATCATATTCTGTCCCAACTTCATTCTTTTGGCCTTCGTAGGAATCTCCCTCTCTTCCTCCAAAGCTTCCTCTCTCGTTGTTCCTTTCGAGTGAGGCTTGGTGCCACTCTCTGCCCCTTTTTGGCAATATGAGTGTGTACCCCAAGGTAGTGTTCTGAGCACTACTCTTTTCCTAGTTGCCCTCAATGGTCTTCTTTCCTCCCTTCCTTCTGGCATTTTCTCCGCTCTCTATGTCGATGATCTTACCCTTTGCTGTCGGGGTGATGATTTGCCTCTCCTTCAACAGCGGCTTCCTTGCGATTGATGCCGTGTCGTCTTGGGCCACCGATCATGGCTTCAAGTTCTCTATGTCTAAGACTTGTGCTATGACTTTTACTCGGGAGTATGTCATTCTTCGTCCCCCCTCTGTCTCTTTATGGTCATCCCCTTGTGTACAAAGATTCCGCTAAGCTTTTGGGGTTAATCTTTGATACTCGTTTGTCTTGGTCGGCCCATATCCCTTACCTCCGCCCTGAATGCTCTAAAGCCCTTTCCCTCCTTAAGGTTTTGTCCCATACTTCTTGGGGGCTCTCTTTACATTCCTCTCTCGTCCTGTCTAAACTTGATTATGGTTGCCCTGGTTACCCATCTGCTTCTCCGTCTACTCTTCGCCGTCTTGGTGCTTTGCACCATGCTGGGTTGCGCCTCAGTTCTGGTGCCTTTCGTTCAACTCCCTCCCTCAGCTTGTATGTTGACACTGGCTTCCTATCTCTCCAGGACCGCCGTGATCGCTGCTGTCTTCGCTATCTGGCGTGGTCATTGCAACATCCTTCCTCTCGCCTCTCATGCTTTGACTTTTACCCCTCCTGTAGTTCCTGTTCCTCTTCCTTGTCTATTTCTGTCCGGCTATCTCGCTTACAGGACTCTTTCAGTTCGTCTTTCTCATATTTCTCCTCGTGTTGTTCCTTCCTTGCCCCTGTGGAGGGTCCCCCTTCCGAAATTTTGTACATCTTTGATCTGCATTACTAAAGCTTTTACCCCTCCTACGGCTCTGAAACGCCTTTTCCTCGAGCACTTTTCTTCACACTGCCGCTCTGTTTCCATCTCCACCGATGGGTCTACGTCTGTGGATAGTGTGGGCTACTCTGTTGTTTTTCCTGACCGCACTTATGTGTCGCCTCCCTTCGGAGACTAGCATCTTCACTGTGGAACTTTATGCTATTCTCTATGCTCTCTGTCTCCTGCTTTCTCGTTATCATTCCTCCTTTGTGGTTGTCGCTGACTCTCATAGTACCCTCATGGCTCTCGGGTCCCTTTAA